GGGAGGATCTGGCCTGCCGGCTCCCTGAGATGGAGCAGCCCGGCTCAGATCAGGAGAACTTTGACTCGGAGGCGTCTCTGAGCTCCGAGAGTCTCCTGGAGGAGCCGCAGCGCTCAGAGCCTGACGGTGAGTAACACAACCCCCCCCCACCCCTCTCTCTCTCTCTCTCTCTCTCTCTCTCTCACCTGTGGGTTTCTGACCAGACCAGCCCTGTGTTTTGTGGTGCAGGTCTGGACCAGTGATGGTGATGGGGGCGGTGACGTCTACTTTGTAACGAGCAGGTTGGAGGAACAGCCACAGTGTGTTGTGTGTGTCTTGTGTGTGTTTTTGCATGTTTAACACAGAAGCATGCACACACTTTGTAGAAATACAGAGTGTTCAGTCCAGTGATGGGATAGGCTGCACCACATTTCAAACTTATTAAATGGTATCTTCTGTATTTTTCAACCTGGACCTTATTTTTTAAGGTTTTTGTGACTAATGGGAACCACTAACTATTCTGTCACGTGATGTATGTCCACTAAAACAGTGATTCTCAAATGGGGGTACGCGGACCCCTAGGGGTACGTTGGGGTACTGCAGGGGGTACGTGAGATTTAAAAAATAAAAAAAAGTTAATTAAAAAAATCAAAAATAATCTTAGTACAATAAGTTAAATAGAAAATACAATTTTATATACATGTCAAATGTGTGTATTGTATTTTATAGTTTTGCATAATATATCATTTTGTTCATTGGTTTGTTAAACAGATATTGCTTCAGTTGAAAAACTCCTTGGAAAAATCCGTGTAAAAAAAATTTTGTTATGTAATTTTTTTTCATGCGTAAAATGAAAATATCCTTGTTTGTTGTAATGCATGCATGAAGGAGTTAATAAATCTCACACTGAGGGAACATCACTATATTGGAATTATTTGTATAGGCTTTTTCGATCAAAAATGTTCGGGGTCGGTCAGGGGGTACTTGGCTGAGAAAATGTTTCAAAGGGGGAACATTACTGAAAAAAGTTTGAGAAGCACTGATCTAAAACATGTCATGCAATATTAGTCTCAGCCTGTTACAAAAGAAACATCGACCCCGATCATTCTCACTCAATACTTTATCCATTTTTTTTTTTTATTGTTGTCATTTGTCACAAAGCACAAATAGGGTCCATGTTGAAAAATCCCAAAGTTTCTCTTTGATGATCATTTGGCTCAGATGTTTGCCTCCATTAACATGTTTGTACATTGCATGCTCTTCCGTTCATCTTCACCCTCATCGTTACATCTTACAATCTATTAGAGAAAACGCGTTTATCTTCCTCTCCCTCCTCCCTCTCTCTTCCAGGACGCGGCTCCCCCTCCCATCAGAGGTCCCGTCCGAAGTGTCTCCCCAAACCCTCGGAGCTGTCTTTGCGCCGTAAAGTCTCTGGAGGACGCCTCTCTCTGCGGCAGCTCTCCCCTCCAAACTCCACTTCCTCCTCCTCCTCCTCCTCCTCCTCCCCCTCCTCCTGCAGGGACCCACTGCAGCGCCGCACCCCCATCATCCCCCACGGCTCCGTTAGACTCCCCCATGGCGTCCTCCCGCAGGCCTCCAGTGCGTCTCACCCCCCGTCTGCAACTCAGGCGCTCCAGTTCCTGGTGCGCAGGCAGGAGCGTTCGGGTCGTCGTAAAGAAAGCACACAGTCGCTGTACTTCGATGGGTCCGAGGGGGGCGACCTCATGTTGACCTTCTCCTCCTGCCCCCCCTCCACCGCCTCCTCCTCCATCTCCATCTCCACCGCAAAACCAACTCTTCAAAATCAAGACACACACGCTGCAAAGAGCCAGAGACGATTTTCTGACCCCGACATTCCTTACATGGACGATGACGTGTGATTCCAGTCTGTTGGACGGCTCAGAGTCCTGTTGTGAACCCGAAGTGTTGATCACCCCGAGGTTTTATGATATAAATGTAAAGTACGGGTCGCCAGGACATAGAAACAGCTGGAGGATAACTTGCATATGTTCGGCAATTTGCACAATTAGCATAAGTTGCCATAATTCGCATTAATTGGAATATACAGACAATAGTTTAAAAGATGGTTTGGCTAATTTTGACCATTTCTGAGTGGATTTGGAGGTTATTGAGGATGCTGAATCAATTTCTGACATTTTCAGGGTCAAAAATTGTAGTTTTATTCAGAAAGTAGTCGTATCTTGGGATGATTTTGATGAGTTTTGGGCACATTTTAAAGTTTTAGGAAACTCAAAACTGCCATTTTGATCCTTAAAATGTCAGAAATGAATTCAACAACTTTAAAATACCCCGAAAACCACACCAAAATTGTCCAAATCAGCCAAGCCATTTTTTTAGCTATTGTGCTACTTAATGCAATTTATACTAATTGTACAGATTGCCCAACATATGCAAGTTAGCATCTGGCTGTTTCTATGTGCTGGGGACCCGTACTCTACGTTGTAACAAAGAACACTTGGGGTGCGCTACATTTTCCGAGTTCACACTGATGACAAGTAGACTCATTTGGGAGAAAATGATGGATTTACGGGCAAAAACCGCAGAAGAAATGACAATTATGGATGAACATGATCCGGAATCCCAACCCTTTGAGAGTTGCAGTGGATCTACAGAGTGACACAAACTGCTTCAGCCTTACTGTCCTCCATGACGGTTCTAAACGACTGGACCACATGTTGCCAAGCACCTTTTTCTACCGTTTTAATATATTGTCCATGAGGCTGTTTTCTGTAGCATCATAACGATGGACCAGCAATTCTATTTCCTTCCCCCTGTTGTTCTTTTTTAAACACATCTGTGCTAATTCAAGGAGATTCTGCACTTTCATTTCTCCTCATGAGCAAAACTCTCTGAAATGTTAGCTAGTGCCTTGGTGGTGTACAGTACAAACTCATGTGGGGATTAAGACAGGGTACAATTTGTCTTTTTGTGACGCGAGACATGTTTGAATTAAGGACTTTAAACGTGTCTTTCCACGCACCGCACAACAAACAGGAAGTCATCGCCTCACAAAGGGAAACGGGAGCAGCACACGCCACTTTTTCCTTTGAAATAAATACAACACAAACCCAGCCGTGCCACGACGTCTTCAGAGCCCCTCGAACTCACCTCGCCCACTTTTTTTTTTTTTTTCAGAGAGAGAGAGAGATCAGATGATCCGGAGCATAGAAAGAGAGAGCTGCGGTCCGCGAGGCCTCGCCTCCTGTCCTCACAACTCTTATTAATCCCGGTACCGGGCAATTGTTATTTCTTGCTACACGTCGTTCTTATTATACATCCATGGTCCCGCCCCCGTCTGTACAGACGTACAAACTGTACAGAAAGCGGCGAGATGCATTCCTTAGGAATCAACAAGCA